TTACCAATTATATCATTATGGTTTTTCACATACAGTATATCATGAAAGTACCATAGTATTTTTGGATGCGCATTTTTAAAGATAGACCAGTAAGTCTGAAATTCAGTTTTCAATATATAAAAAGGAAGAACTGTGATTTTAGAAAAGATGATTTATTAATAAGCACCAGTGAAGAATCAAAAGCTCTGCAGATTCTCCACATTCACTGTCTTGTGTTGCTGCTAATAAACCCCTCGTCCAGATCCACAGGTTCCTGCAGATGTTCCTTCAACACAAGCACAGAAAACATGACTCTAAGCCTGCTAATAAGCGTCTGAAACGCCAGGCCGTGATCTGACCTCTCGCCAAAGCTTCCAGCGCGGTTGTTGTGAGACACTGAAGCTGCCAAATAAATGTGGAAGTTCTGAAAGAAATAATTGGAGGAGGAGGAGCGTGTGAAGCGCTGAAGGTCAGTCCTGTTCTTCTGTTTCTCTGTAAACCAGTGTCACCGGGGAGAACACAAACTGCCGGCTGTAATTGCTGGCGCTCTGCTAATTGGGAGCAATTAAAGAACAGCAGCATGCGACGTGACGTACCCTGGAAACATCATTTTACAGCAACAAGCCCTAAACACAGCGCACTTGACCCAGAGCAGATCATGTGATTCATCACAGCCGCAGAAGATGCTGTTATTTTCATCACAAGAGTCTTGAATCTTAAGTTATTTACTCAATCTCAAATCTTATGTTTGTGTGTGTTATATATAAATGATGAAAAACTATATAAAATATATTAATTATAAAAAAATACAGTAAATTATAAATATTATTCAAAATATCTATAAAAATACATAAATATGCAAATAAATACATCCAAATAGGTTATTTATATATAAAATAAATTACATGAAAACATAAAATCTAAATAAATGTGCTGTTATTTTAATCGCAAGAGTCTTAAGTTATTTACTCAAACCAATAATAGTCTTTCAGTGAATTATTTTTATATTTTTTTTTATAATGTTATGATATTAACAATAATTTTATGTAAATACACATAAAAATGTGTGTGTGTATATATGTATATAATATATATGATGAATATACCAATGATGAAAAACTATTAAAAAATATCTAAAAATGATAAAAAAAAATATTTCTAAAAATAAATAAATAAATAACTAAAAAAAACATAAAATAAATAAATTTATTTGTCACTGTAATACTGCAAATAAATAATATGTAAATATTTTAAGATAAATAAATATGTGTATGTATGCATATATATATATATATATACATACATGCGTGTGTATATACAGTACATAAATACAAAATACATACATATATATATAAATTATATATATACGCACACATACACACATTCCATATATATTTATTTATATATAAAATAAATGATATAAAAATATATAAATATGCCGTTATTTTAATTGCAAGACTCTTAAGTGCATCAGAGTGAGAAAAAGTTTGACTTTAAGGGTGCGTCGCAATAAATAACAATAAAAAATGGAGTCTGGTTTCATTGTAAAGGGCAGCGTTTAAATTATTCTCGGCCCACTGGCTGCTAATTACCTGCTTGAGTTCCTCTCATATAACGACTGTTTTTCTCCTTCACAGACAATTACAGTCAGGCAGAACACTGATAGACATGTGGGATGAGACTGAGATTACAGTTACTCCCGTTTACTAGCACTAAAGTACTAAAGTTGAGGGTTAGTGAGTGATTCAGTGATCAGGAGCATGATGTCTGTCGATCACACAGTGAATCTGAAGCTGTGCGAGTGTTAGTACAGGAACAACATGTGAGATGTTGGAGGAATTCTGAGGAGGAACTGCAAATATACAAGATATACTTGTCAAATAAAATGAAAGAAATACATAAATTAAAGGTTTTAGTGAATTTAGTGATGTTGTATATTATTCCTAATTTTTCAAAATTCTAAAACTGTTTTCTAGCTTAAATTGCAATAAATAAAACTCTATCCAATCAACTAAATAAATACATATATAACCAACCAACCAACCAATTCAAATAAATAACTAATCTGACAAGACACCTTGTGTTATGTGCAAGATTGTTTGAGCTTCTGGTAGAATCTGGCGTTTCATTGCGAGTCTTAACAAACATCTGACTGGCAAATCACAAACACACAACAGCCAAATGGCTTCAGCAGGAACATATGAGCGCGCAACGCTGGAGAATCAGCGGCGGTTCCTGGAAAACAAACTGGCTCCATGTTTGCTTCAACAGGACAGTGTTCAGCCGGGATAATCCGCTGCTGGACCGGCACCGGCGCTGTGATGTTAGCCAAGAGTCTTCCTCTGAACACATTTAATTAACTGGCTAAAGCCACTGGCCCGAGGCTCGCGAGAGAGCCGTCTAATTTATAGCGCAGAGCGGCCAGATCCATCTGCAGGAGATTTAAACAGTATGAAATAAAACCGGATCGCAGTCCGGCCTCGTTATTCTCCGATATTAAAACACTGAACTTTGACACGCAGGGCTGAATTTCTGCTCAAGTCCAGAGGAAAAGAGCCAAACAGCAGCGAACGAGAGCGAAATTACAGAGTCGGGTCTCGGCACTCTGGATATGGAGGAGAAATAATGTAATACCAAAAGACGGATGGGAAGCTTTTTTTCTCCAATTTCTCCAGGCGGATGAAGGAGTCTTAGCGAGGATATGGGCGTCTGAGACCCGCTGTGACAAATCAAATGAAGGTGAAATCACAAGCTGCCGGATGGCGAGTCGCGTTATTACGGCCGGACTTCCTCCTGTACTTCCTGCTGATGGAGAAACACAGGAGACAAACGAGCCGCTCTCTCACTGCTGCTGACGACTGCAGACGCTCAGAGATCACTAAACACTTCAGCTTCCTATGTGCTACAGTCAACAGACAACATCCACCCACACATCCATCCATCCATCCACACATCCATTCATCCATCCATTCACACATCCATCCCTCCACCCACACATCCATCCATCCATCCACCCACACATCCATCCATCCATCCACCCACACATCCATCCACCCACAAATCCATCCATCCATCCATCCACTCACACATCCATCCATCCACCCACACATCCATTTATCCACTCACACATCCATCCATCCATC